TATGGAAGTTGGTACAATTTTTGGACAGCCATATCTTGATTAGATATAGCAATGAAAATGTATGACAAAGTGAAAAGCATCCGTGTTAAGCATTAAGTTAGTATTAATAGACATAGTTATGCACTAATAGCAGGCATGGTCATCTGTAGTCTGTACTGAACATAAAGGAAGCCCTGTTATATAAGTCACATCTTTCTAGCCACACTACAAAGAATTAAGAAGAATGCTGCAGTGTTGTTTATAAAAGTTCACAACTGAGGCAGGCCTTTAGGGCATATAGGCTACAGTAAATCTTGAGGTGTGAGTAAATCAAAAATCTATTTTTCAGGAAGCTTTCTATCATATCTCACTGTACTGTGATATTGCAACTAATAGCACTTCTTGTTGAAGGCTGAAAATGTTAGCACTGCTTTATAATTAGCACCAGTAATGTGAGCACATGGCAGGCTAACAACTCTGCTGATAATCATTAGGCAATGGCTTAACCCAGTAGTGTGTTTAGATTTTGTGCTGCCCTAGGCAACACAAAAAATGTGCCCCCCTCCCCAATGAGAGAGCAAGAGAGTTCAAGAAGTGTGTGAATGTATATATGATTCTCTCTTTCTCCCTTTCTTTCTCTCTTCCCTCTCTCTTTCTCCCTCTGTCTCTCTCCCCCCTCTCTCTCTCTTCCCTCCCCCCCTCTCTCCCCCCTCTCTCTCGCCCCCCTCTCTCTCCCTCTCTCTTTCTCCCTCTCTCTTTATCTCCCTCTCTCTTTCTCTCTCTCTTCCCTCTCTCGTTCTCTCTCTCTTCCCTCTTTATTTCCCTTTCTTCTCTCTCTATCTCCCCCCCTCTCTCCCTCTTTCTTCCCACTCTCTTTCCCTCTCTTTCTCTCCCCCTCTCTCTTCCCTCTCTCTCTCTCTTTCTCCCTCTTTCTTTCTCCCTCTCTTCCCTCTCGCTCATCTCTCTCTTCCCTCCCCCCTCTCTCTCTCTCCCTCTCCCGCCCGCTCCCCCCCTCTCCATATCTCTCTCTTCCCCCTCTCTCTCTTTCTCTCTTCCCACTCTCTTTCCCCTCTCTCTTTTTTTCCTACTCTCTTTTCTATCTTTCCCCCCCCCCTCTCACTCTTCCTCTCTCCCTCTCTCTTCCTCTCCCCCATCTCTCTCTCTCTCTTTCTTTCCCCCCTCTCTCTCTTTCTTCTCTCTCTTTCTCTCCCCTCCCCTCCCCTCTATCTCTCTTCCCTTTCTTTCTCTTCCCTCTCCCTCTCTTCCCTGTTTTTCTCCCCCCCCTCTCTCTCTCTCTTCCCTTTCTTTCTCTTCCCTCTCTCTCTCCCCTTCTTCCTCAGATCGTATGGGACCATCCCCCCATCCAAGGGCTGCTGATCTCCATGCAGTAGGAAGGGGAGGGGGGTGCAGTCCCATGTGATCTGTCAGTGTGTAATCTGCTGAATGGATGACAGGAGGGAGAGCCCACAGAAGACAACATAGCTCACCTCCTCTGGGCTCTTTCCTCTCTGCCGCTTCTATCCCTGCTCCAGGCTGTCCCCTGGTCTTGGCTCATCAGCTGCTGGAGGGAGAGATACACGACCATCGATCTTCCTGCTGTCCGCTGCTGCTCAAAAGGTCCCTTCTTCGGGGGGGGGGGGGGGGACACCCCCCTAAAAATTGCTGCTCTAGGGAAACGCTTTGTTTGCCTCATGGTAGATATGCCCCTGGCTTAACCAGTTGCCTACAGGGCACTTTTACACCCTTCCTGCCCATGCCAATTTTCAGCTTGTAGTGCTGTTGCACTCTAAATGCCAATTGCATGGTCATGCAACATTGTACCCATATGACATTTTTATCATTTTTTTCACACATATAGAGCCTTCTTTTGATGGCATTTAATCACCACTGGGGTTTTTATTTTTTTTGTACAATAAAAAAATGGAAAAAAACTTGAAAAAAAAACTTTGTTTCTATTATAATAGGTAATTTGTATCCTTTACTGATGTGCGTTGATGAGGCTGCACTGATTGGCAACACTGATGGGCACTGATTAGGTGGCATGGATATGGAGCACTGATGGGCACTGACAGGCTTCACTGATGAGGTGGCACTGATGAGGCAGCGCTGGTGGGCATTGTTGATGATGCACTGATATGCAGCAATGATGGGCACTGATGGTCACTGATAGGCGGCACTGATGGTCACTGATAGGTGGCACTGATGGGCACTGATAAGGCGGCACTGGTGGGCATTGATGAGGAGGTACTGATGATGCTGCACTGATATGAAGCAATGATGGACACTGATAGGCATCACTGATGGTCAGCACTGATGGGCAGCACTGCTGGGCACTGATGGCCACAACTGCTGGGCAGCTCTGATGCTTGGCATTGCTGGGTACTGATGGGTGGCACTGATGGGCACTGGTTGGTGGCCCTGATGGGCACTGGTGGGTGGCACTGCTGGGAACTGCTTGGTGGAACTTCTGGGCAGCACTGCTGGGTGCTGATCATCAGTGCCATGATTATCACTGTTGATCTGCTCTGTGACATTTGCTGGTTAATGGCAGTACTTTCCTCATGCTGTGACGCTGTGAGGAAAGTGCTGCCAATAACAGGCAACTGTATTTATTTTGTGATCTGCTGTGTCATTGGACACAGCTGATTATGTGGTAAAAGGCCGCTGTGATTGGCTTTTTACCTAGTCATGTGATCAGCTGTGTCCATAGGACACAGCGATCACTGACAGCCCCGGGTGTGCGCCGCTGGGGGGCATGCGGGGTGTTCGTTCTGGGAGGACATCATATGCAAATATGACTACCATGCTGAAACATTGGTTCTCTGGGGCTTTGAATACAATAGCAGTCATCAATTATATACATTAAGTACGACTCACCTATTCTGCCTGTATTGGTGCTACTATAGAAGTCAGTAGTAGTGCTGCCTTAGTTATCTATGAAATTGCTTTAATCTTCAGTATATCCTTATAATAGTGTAATTATTTTGTACGTATATGAAACATATATACTTTTAATTTACTGGTCAGTGCAGAGTTCTCCTCATTGTTATTTTGTACATTGCTAAAATACAGACTGCCTATTGGCAGGTGATAAATAACGAATGTTTACATTTTATTTACATTTTATTTTATGTTTGTTATTGGATGAGCATATTATTTAACCACTTGCCCTCCTGAGGATTTACCCTCACTTCCTGAGCAGGCCATTTTTTGCATTACGACGCTGCATTAACTGACAATTGCACGGTCATGCAACGCTGCACCCAAATGAAATTTACATCCTTTTTTTCCCACTAATTGAGCTTTCTTTTGGTGGTATTTATCACCTGTGTGTTTATAATTTTTTGCGCTATAAAAAAAGACTGATACGCTTGAGAAAAAACAATATTTTTTACTTTTTGCTATTAAACATGTCCAGTAAAAAAAAATTTAAAATCAAATTTCATCATAAATTTAGACCAAAATGTATTCTGCTACATGTCTTTGCTAAAAAACATCCCAATATGTGTAAATTTGTAGTATTTACAAATGGCGGTATATATTGACATCTTTTTTTTTTTACTAGTGTTGGCGGTGATCAGCGACTTATAGCGGTACTGCGGCGGGCATTCTGCCACTGGGGGAAACTGACTTGGTGTCACTTACATCCCCAGTGATGAGTGCTAAAAAAAAAGCACTGATACCGTACTAATGGCACTGGAAAGCAAGTGGTTAACATGAGGGGTGATCAAAGGGTTACTTGTGTTCTCAGAGTGGTTTACTGGGGGCAGGTGTGTTGGTGCTTTACTGTAAGCACACTGCTCTGGATGGCTGTGCTATGGATAATTTTTCTCACACGGATGTTGCTTCTTTTATGATTGCTGGTCATCACAGCCGTATCACTGAGGGATTTCTGTTATACCAAAGGACACTTCACTTGGGATTTCTATATAGATATTATAAATACTTTGTATCAGCTCTTATACCTACTAACGTTATACTATTTTTGTAAAGATAGATGTTTATATTTTGTAATTGTATCTGGCATACGATTATTCTCAATAAACAGACTGTAAACTAAAAATGATAAATAATGAATGTGTTTGCTCTTTAGTGAATTGACTTTAATGTTTTATCTCTTTTTTTTTTGCAGTATTTACCACACATTCGATATTTTACTTTGATAAATGGACTCTTATTATCTTGTGTGAAATTTCTGAAAAATGGGTCACGTGTCCTTCATATCGTATGCAAAATCCTTTAGTGAATTGGCCCCAAAGTCCTGATTGCTATACTCCATATGCTATACCCATATGCTCTGTTGCACAGTGCATCCAGAAAGTATTCACAGCGCTTAACTTTTGCCACATTTTGTTGTTACAGCCTTATTCCAAAATGGATTAAATTAATTTTTTTCCTCAACATTCTACAAACAATACCCCATAATGACAATGTGAAAGAAGTTCATTTTGAAATCTTTGCAATTTATTATTAAAAATAAAAAAATAAAAAAAACATGTACATAAGTATTCACAGCTTTTGCCATGACATTCAAAGCTCCAGTTCAAGCACTGGTGCATCCTGTTCCCACTAATCATCCTTGAGATGTTTCCACAACTTCATTGAAGTCCACTTGTGGGAAATTCAGTTGATTGGACATGATTAGGAAAGGCATAAACCTTTCTATATAAGGTCCCACAGTTAACCTCCCTGGCGGTATGATTATTTCAGATTTTTGGTGCTGAAAGCTGGTACCATTACCATTTTTTTGCATGGAAATATGTATTTTTTTTATTGTAGGCTGTAATTTTTAGGAAAAACTCACTGAAATCTGTCCGAACAAGAGTCTAGTAAACATCCCGGGTATGATAAAATTTGAAACACACAAAATCATAAATTATAATTTAATAAATAATCATAAAAATAATATAAAAAATAATAATAAAAAATTTAATTCAATAATATAATCAAAACCAAAAACACTGAAATGTGAAATAGAGTGCCAAGTTCGCACATTGCTGAGCTCAGTCGCAAAATCGTTTTCAATGTCTGATGACGAATTTCCCCCACGAATCATTATCACTCAATTTCTGCAAGTGGTTCTGATTTACTATCGCTGTTCTCTAGCTGATCTAAACCGCTTTTGACCTAAAGGGACACTTTTTGGACGCCATGGAAATTTTCTCAGTTTCCAGAAAGCTATACAGACATAAATGCAGGCTGTTGCACAAAGTCCAGACAAAATTCAGGCAGGGCGCAGGACAAAGCACTAGGGACAATATGTATGTGAAATTGGTTGAGACAGCAATGTTTTACTAGGTAAAATGTAAAAAAAAAAAAATGACATTTTTTAAAATTTTTAAATTTCCCGCCGCCGGCGGCTGCGGCGCCCGTACGTCCCGACGTCACAGGGACAGGACACAGAAGCCGGATGCCGGCATCGGCTTCGCCCGGAGGAGATGGCCGGGGACGCTGCAGGGACACATCGTGGGAGCGCAGGGTAAGGTAAGTGAAGAACACTTGCCGGAGCAGTGCCTCAGGGTAAGCCCGAGTGTAGCTCGGGGTTTCCGCTTTTGGTACTGAAATGTTACCCCGAGCTACACTCGGGAATACCGCCAAGGAGGTTAACAGTGTATGTTAGAGCACAAACCAAGCCATGAAGTCCAAGGAATTGCCTGTATACCTCCAAGATAGGATTGTATCAAGGCACAGATCTGGGGAAGGGTACAGAAACATGTCTGCAGCATTGAAGGTCCCAATGAGCACAGTGGCCTCCATCATCTGTAAATGTAAGAAGTTTGGAACCACCAGGAGTCTTCCTAGGGTACGCCGCCTGGCCAAAATGAGCGATCGAGGGAGAAGGGCCTTAGCCTGGGAGGTAACCAAGCACCCGATGGTCACTCTGAAAGAGCTCCAGTGTTTCCTTGTGGAGAGAGGAGAACCTCCAGAAGAAAAACCATCTCTGCAACACTCCACCAATCAGGCCTGTATGGTAGAGTGGCCAGAAGGAAAGCCACTCCTCAGTAAAATGGCAGCCCGCCTGGAGTTTGCCGAAAGGCACCTGAGGGACTCTCAGACCATGAGAAACAAAACTCTCTGGTCTGATGAAACAAACATTGAACTCTTTGGCCTGAATGCCAAGCGTGATGTCTGGAGGAAACTAGGCACCCATCACCACCTGACCAATACCGTCCCTACAGTGAAGCATGCTGGTGACAGCATCATGCTGTCAGGATGTTTTTCAGTGGCAGGAACTGGGAGACTAGTCAGGATTGAAGGAAAGATGAATGCCGCAATGGTAAAGAGTGCTCTGGACCTTAGACTGGGGCAACGTTTTTTCTTTGAACAGAACAATGACCCTAAGCACACAGCGCACAGAACAAAGGAGTGGCTATGGGCCAACTCTGTGAATTTCTTGGAGTGGCCCAGCCAGAGCCCAGACTTGAACACGATTGAACATCTCTGGAGAGATCTAAAAATGGCTGTGCACCGACTCTCCCTATCCAGCCTGATTGAGCTTGAGAGGTACTGCAAAGAAGAATGGATGAAATTAACCAAAAATAGGTGTGCCAGGCTTATAGCATCATACTCAAAATGACTTGAGGCTGTAATTGGTGCTAAAGGTGCTTCAACAAAGTATTGAGCAAAGACTATGAATACTTATGTACATGTGGTTATTTTCATTTTTTATTTTTAATAAATTGCAAAGATTTCAAAACAAACTTCTTTCATGTTGATATAACTGGGTATTGTTTGTAGAATGTTGAGGAAAAAAATTAATTTAATCATATTTAGAATAAGGCTATAAAATAACAAAATGTGGCAAAAGTTAAGCACTGTGAATACTTCCTGGATGCACTGTATGCTACATAGTCCTGACCACTGCACCACATATGATATTTTGTACATTAGAATGTTTTGACAGTTGCATTATACACACTATGTTGCACATTACATAGAGCTTATCACTCCATATTCTATTTTGTTTGTTATATAGTCCAAACAGCTGTGCTGTGTATGTTAGATAGTCCTGACCACTGCATTATTTACAGTGTATTGTAATTCCAAAAAAATGTATAATGTTCTTTTTTATGTAGAATCAGGCTAAGGGGTTTGATTTACTAAAACTGGAGAGTGCAAAATCTGGGTTTGCTCTTTATGGAAACCAATCAGCTTCCAGGATTTTTTGTCAAAGGTTAATTGAACAAACTGAAGTTAGAAGCTGCATGGCTACCATGCACAGCTGCACCAGATTTTGCATACTCCAGTTTTAGTAAACCAACCCCAAAGTGTTAGGTCTTCATATTCTTTTTGCAGAAAAGCATATATGATGTAATGTTTGATCACTTGTGCATATGTGTGATGGCTCATGTGCCAAGGCTCAGTAAGACTAGCACAGTAATTAAGGCATATTTGTGGGTATAAAACTGCAACATGTGTGTAGTGTATATAGCCAGTAGGCACAGATTCTATTTAACCTCTTAAGCCACTCCCACTGTTGGATGCTATTGCTACATGCCCACCACTCACCTTGGAATACTAAGTGCTTTTTTTTGCCCTAAGTATTATTTAAAATGATACTAAACAGAGAAGCATTCACTGCCATCATTAATTCACATGCCATTGTATTTTGTTTTTTTTCTACTGTTTTTTTTTTTTTCTTTTAACCCTCTACATACCTTATTCCTGAAGCACTGTTATGTGGTCACATGCTCTCTCACTGTTCTTTAACATCTTCAGGGAAAGATCCTTGGGAGGGGCTTCTATTACTAGTACAGTATGAATCTGTCTGCACAGCCCTGATTGGTGCTGTGCCATTTACAAGACTAAAAAAAAACAGTTTCAAAAGAGAAATTCAAATTAAATTCTGTATAAAAAAAACTGTTTTATAGCTCCCTTTAAATCTTTATTGAATATCAAATATGTATATTTTGTGCATTAATATGGTGTCAGTCAAAGATGATTAGCACTAGCTTTCATTTTGTTCAGACAGAATCTGCATCCAAGGCTCTTTTTTTACTTTACAGATATTAGTAGTTACATTTGTTATATTTAATACTAATTTATATTAAAACTAAGCTTTAATGTAAGTCTTTTAGTGAATGTTAGCAATCATACTATATCCCTTATAGTGTTTAACTATAGGAGGATATGGAGAAGGAGGAAGGGAAGAGGGGAGTGTCATTAACCACTGTGTATACGCCCACATGTGTGACTCTATAGTCATATGAGCTGCACAGATAAAAAATGAGGAAGTTAATAGCTTAGAAGGAAGCTGAAGTTGAGCATGCTCAGTAGAAGACACCAACTAGTCAACTACATTATTTCAGGCTACAGTGGGGAAATAGAGAAGATGGGAGGGACAGTAGAAGGCAGGATCAACCAGGTATATTTCACTCTACAGAAAATGAATGCTTTAGTGGCTTTGTGAGTATGCACACTGTTAGCGTGTAAATAATCTAAACAGAGGGGGAAAGGTGGCACACAATCAGCTATAGACCAGGAAGCACTCACTTCACCCTGCCCATTTTGGCCGAAGCCTCTATGTGCACCACATCAGCTCTCCTACTCATGCCTCGAGTACCTGCAGAGAACCCGCAACATTTTTGTCTGGAGCTGCCCCTGTGCATTAGATTTATTTTTAGGCTTTTTTCCCTTTATTCTCATCTCATGTTCCAGCCAGAAAGTCTGTCATGTTTCATCTTCCTTTATTAGACAAAGTTGTCCACCAAAAATGAAAATTAGAGGGTTGATACAAAAAGTTAAAAAGTGTTAATCTGGGTGTACATATTCAGTTTTTTTTTTTTGTTCAACCAGCGAAAAAAAAAAGCAAAAAAATGACAGATCCCTGCGTCAAACATTTTTGTCTTGTTGTGGGGATCTGTCGATTTTTTCTTCATTCAGCCTACTGATAGAGCCACCCTAAAACAGGAAGCATGTCACTGCATGGATCACCAAGTTAAAATAAAGGAAAAAGAGCCTAAAAAAGAAAACTATTGCAGCTCCAACATTTAAGGATGCTGCAATGCATTACATTTTGTTTTGCATTTAGATACACTTGAAACCCCTTATGCCAGCTGATGTATAAAATTCAGTCACATCATCAGTTAACAAGAATAATTCTATGTATATAAGTTGGCAGTCAAACATTGCCATGGGGATAACAGATAATGCTTTTGAGTGCAAAATATTTTGTTGTTTCTTAGTAAAAATTACTAAAAACTGTTGTACCTGATATGCAACTCAGGTATAAGGTCCATATAAAAGGAATTGTTGAAAAACATAAAGACATAAACAACAATTATTATCTTTTTTTTTTAGTACAGTTGGGAAGGGTAAGAAACTTTTACAGGTTGTTATTGTAGTTTTTGCTCCCAAAGGAGACATTTCCCTTAAATCTGTGGTCACTGGAACAGGTGTAAGGCTGTGCTGAGCAAGAGTATTGTTATTGCTAATTAATCCAAGTGTCATTTTACAGATAAATTATTAGTGGCAGTAGGACAATTTTTAATACGTTGTTTTTGGTTCTTCTGGTATAAGAGATAAAGATGATGAAATATGTTAAAGAATAAGTTACAGCCTGGGCATCCTATACTTCAGCAGACAGTTAGTTTGATCAGCCAAAGCTAAATATGAACTTTTTTCTTAATATTTGCACAGAAAATAATTTACATATGAGTGATGTATGGCGTGTCTATCACTGCTAAAGTTGTCTAACTCTGTAGAGAAGAATCATACTGCAGAAAATCCAGAAATAGCATGAAAGGACCTCTAGGGCTGCTAAAGGTGCTATGTGACTCTGTACACATGTACCATGTGAGTATCTCCTCTATAATTGCAGCCTATGGATATTAGACAATGTATATTATCATTAAACACACAATATACCGATCATTCTAGTTTCAGTATTTACAGTTTAAAGGCAGAACTAAACATTCCTATCTTTTTCAGCCACGGAAGCTGCCATCTTGGCTTCCATTTGATCTGCAACTGCCATGGTGAGGCACATGTGATCAGTTATGACTCCAGCCATTTGATGGCATAAGAGTTTGGTTGACAGCACAAGCAAATGTGAGTTAGCATTTCCAGTATTCCAGCAATGTAACTGTTTTTCAAAACTGTTAAATCAATGGGTTTAGTTCTGCTCTAAAGTGAAACTAAACCCTCCTATCCTTTTCAACCAAGGAATCTGCTATCTTAGCCTCTGTTTGACTTGACACCAGCCATTTGGGCTGGCAGTGGTAGGGCTTGTATAAATTATATCATCATTGATGTGTGCCAACTGCTCAAACCAAGCAGACATTACAATACATGCCAACCTCAAAACTAAAATCTCATATAAACTTCATCATGTATATGTAATTTGAAAATTAATTTTGAACATTTGAAATCCATCCTGACATGAAGTTATTTGTTCAGGCACTTACTGTAGTAGATGTTCTGGTCCTGGATCCCAGCCCATGTCACCACTCACCAGCAATCTG